ATTAGTCTTTACTTAGCGTGGGAAAGTTGCATTTAAATAAAATCTGGTTACCTTATAATAATAAAGCATTGGTCCCCAAATTGTTTTGTAAGACGTACATCCACAGCCCAGTCCCATCAACTCAGGTACACCTTCATCAACACCACCGTTTATGTACAAATGTGTTCATTTTAATTAATTTCAAACTGTATGTTATTTAAATGGTAAATGGACCTGTAGTTGTATAGCGCCTTTCTAGTCTTCCGACCACTCAAATCGCTTTTACACTACATGCCACATTTACACAGTGACAGATCATAAACATCTCAAATAGAAACATTCATACACATTCATCCTGCAATGCACAGCATCAGGAGCAATTTGGGGTTCAGTATCTTGCTCAAGGACACCTCGACATGCAGCGGGAGTGGCCACTGTAGTAAGTACTCAACCTACATGGGTCGTGTGCTCTACCAGGTGACTTACTGGGCGTCCCGACATGTTAAATAATTTAACATTCATTGTCAACCAATTCTAGTTGACACTGCTGAGAGCTGCTTCTTCTCTTTTGCTTTGTGGTGCTTGCCACATAATAGTAAATCACAGTGCACTCTGGATGCTTTGTGACACCAATATATTACTACAAGCATTTATTTTGTTTTTTTGCATTAACAGGAATAAAATATTGGCACATATCGGATAACATATATACGACGGAGTATTAGGGCCAGACTGAGAAAAAAATCATTTTATTTTTTGGGAAATTACGAGAATAAAGTCGTAATGTTATGAGAATAAAGGCGTAATGTTACGAGAATAAAGGCGTAATATTACGAGAATGGTGTAATAATAATACAAGAAAAAGTTGTTTTAATGAGAAAAAAGCTTTGATAGAGTTATCAAGATCCGACGTGACCAGCTCAACCAAACAGCAGCCTCAGCCTGAGCCCAGCAGCCGCTGTTTGTCTCAGTCGTACTGTACAGTCAACAGGTAAGCTAACGAATTGATAATTTAATAATTTCGTCTTTAATCAGTTTTGCTGGCTGAGCCAACAGGCTGACCGTTCTCAGAAAATAACTACTTTATTCTCGTAATATTATGACTTTATTCTCGCAATGTTATGACTTTATTCTCGTAATGTTACGACTTTATTCTCGTAATGTTACGACTTTATTCTCGTAATGTTACGACTTTATTCCCGCAATGTTACGACTTTATTCCCGCAATGTTACGACTTTATTCTCGCAATGTTACGACTTTATTCTCGTAATATTACAACTTTATTCTCGTAATGTTAAGACCAGTGACGGCTGGTGGTGATTTTGGGTGGGTGGGCTAACAAATGCATTTCACTCATCAATACGTCACACAGCAGCAACAGCAACAACAGTAGCATCACACCAAGTTACAGTAACAACATTGTATACTTTGTTATAGCAAGTGCTCTACGGCAACACGAGACATACCCAAAAGAATGACCTGATGCCAAAAAAAACCTCTCTGTTTTCTTTCTCTCTCTCTGTCTCTCTCTCTCCCCTCTGTACACATCAGCACACGTCAATTGTGCTACAACAACATTATAGAAAAGTGCCAGCAACAATTTGCAACACCATGTACAAAAAAATAAAACTATCTACAAAACCAAAGCAAAAATAACAGTATTTGTATAAGAGAGTTGTTTCAGAGCTGGACATACCTTATTTAAGAAGCAACTCACATCGACGGCCTTTCTGTGACGCAAACAGGTTAATCACCATGTCATTAAAGTGGTTTTTGGATGAAGTTCTGCTTAATGGACAGCATAGCCAGTGCGTTTCGCCTGTCCTGTCCTGTCCTGCATTGTACTTCTAAGAAGGAATTCTTTTCAGTGTACTGAAACCCCTTTCTGACTCTGCAGATGTCATGGGGGCTGTGATGGCTATTTGGGTTACTTTCAGTGTTTCAGAAAAAGTTCTCTGAAGATTGTTCTCAGTCAGCATCTTCAAAAGTGACATTGTGGACATTAGGCCCCCAAACTCCACACTGCTGTACATCACCATTAGCTCACCTTTCAGTTTCTCTCTGCAGATCATTGGGTAATGTTCACATGCAATGTCCAGCTGCTTCTGCGGGAAAGTGTTCTTAAACAGCGGAAAGAATTCAGGGTTAATAAGTTCGAAAGACACCAAGTGCCTGGCTTTCTCAAAGCGAGCCTTTGACTGCTCGACCATTATGTCACAGCACTGTGCGGCTACTGACACATTATCTGAGCGCTGCATCCTGCACGGCTGCAGCGGCTGCAGCTGGGTCCGCGTCTGGATGTGGCTGATTGTCATCTGTGGTCAGCTTGTCATCTGTGGTCAGCTTGTCATCTGTGGTCAGCTTGTCCTTCAGTTCAGCTATGGAGCACAAAAAATTCTCCAGGACCTGTCTCGTTTTGAGAGAATCTGTGGTCTTAGACGTGTCCTTTGCAACCTGTGTGTTTGACAGGTGATAGGCTAATTGACCTTGATTGATCGCTGGAGTGAAGTGGGAGATTCATCGGACCCCCGCAGGGCAAGCTCATGTCCCCCACAAAATTTAATACAGTCCACAATCCATGATAGTGAATGCCCTGTTTCTCTTTACCAGCTTGTTGTGTCTCTGTACAGTGATGCGGTGACCCTCATCAAGCTGACAGACAATGTTCACTTTACCCAGCAACAGTGATGCCAGTAACGCGTTACTCCATTCGACCGTTTTTTTCAGTAACGAGTAATCTAACGCGTTACTATTTCCAAATCGGTTATCAGATTAAAATTACTTATCCAAGTCACTGTGCGTTACTATGTTTGTCATTTTCCTCAATAAAAATATATTTGCTTTCTGTCTCTGGGAGTGAAGTCATGTAGCCTATGCGACAAGTCACATTTTCAGCATGAGGACAGTTCACGTGTAGGCTACGCAGACACAAACATAAACAACAATGGAGGGAGGAGAGAGATGTGCGCTTGCTAGCTGGAAATACAGTCACTATTTTGAGTTTGCGTCAGCTAAAGATGGTACTATTAAGGTTCGTTGTACACTCTGTGCTGGTGGCGACAAAGTGCTATCTAGCTACAAAAACACTACGTCAAATTTGAAGAAACATTTGGAGTTGCAGCACTGCACAGTCAAACTTACAGAGCAAGTCCCACCAGGTGGTACGAAGCAGAGAGCAGGAGGTCCCCCACCACCCAAATAATAAAAGCTGGACTTCGGTGCGAAACCAGTAAGTGGGGGAGAGTTGAAGAAGTTGGTTGGGCAGTATGTTGTAGACTTCAAATGTCAGGAGATACATTGTTGACGTTTCTGTTAAAAATGCACTTCCAATAAAGTGAGTGTTGGCAAAACCGGTTGTCATTTATGTTGAGGCGGCGGGGGTGTTGTCGGCAGCTGCTAAATGTAACTAATAAAGTAACTTGTAATCTAATTTAGTTACTTTTAAAATCAAGTAATCTGTAATCAGATTACTTTTTCAAAGTAACTGTGGCAACACTGCCCAGCAATGACAGCTTTACGCTATTTTCAATGTGACTCATGCTGCATTCATGTTTCCTAATTTTGTCGGATAAATGTTTCAAATCCACAATTCCTTGTTGGGTCCAAGCCGTATCTCCTCTAAAAAGCAAACATGGGAAACAGAAAAGTGAATTCCTAGCTACACTTGCCGTTAGCCAGTCCTTTCGCTGAAACCACGTAACACAAAAGTTACGATTTTGTCATTTGTCCTTTTGTGTTATTTGAACATTGTTTGGATGATGTTTCCCCAATCTCTGTACTTCCAATTTTTCCTCCAAAGACTTTAAAGAAAATTGATTAGAAAGTAAATAATCCACCTCGTTCATGTTCATGCTAACGCCCGACCATTACCACAGTTGCTCACATCCCTCTCTCCATGTTCTACTACGAACTAGCCTCACTGTACTGTACTGTGGCTACTGTGCTGTGATTGGTCGAAGGTCACTGGCCTTTGGGCTGAATGAATTTAGCCCAAATGGGCAGCACATGAAGGGGGCGTGCCACGACACCTGTCAATCAAAATTGAATGGAAGCTTATGCTACTGTGCTTGGCCTGTAAAAATTAAGCCCATTCATAGGAAAAACCCAAGATATATCATATATCCTGGGTTTTTCCTGTCACTTTGGTGCTGTTGCTGCTCTTGGTTCTACCAAAATTCAAAACAATATGTTCTGAAGTTTTTAATAAGTTTTTCAACTTTACTGTAAAAGATAGGGAGGGCTTAGCCCTGTCGGCCCATATATACCAACCGTCCCTGGTTACGACTTTATTCTCGTAGACCTAATATTATGACTTTATTCTCGTAATTTCCAAAAATAAAAATAAAAATAATGACAATACATTCATTTAATTCTGAATAGGGTTCTCTTTTATCTTATTTCTATTAAGTATTGTTTTATCTTCGAATTGCATTGTTTTATCTTCGAATTGCATTGTTTTATCTTTGAATTGTGTCGTTTTATCTTCGAATTGCATTGTTTTATCTTTGAATTGTGTTTTTAAAACTTTGAATCATGTTCTTATATTTTAATTATGTTGTTTTAACCAATACTTGTATTGTTTTTGTTGTTTTGTCTTTGAATTGTGTTGTTTTATCTTTGAATTTTGCTGTTTTATATTTGAATTGTATTGTTTTGTCTTTAAATTGTTATTTTTTGTTTGAATTGTTTTGTTTTGTCTTTGAATTGTATTATTTTATATTTGAATTGTATTGTTTTGTCTTTGAAATGTGTGTTTTTTTTGTTTGAATAGTGTTGTTTTGTACAGCACCTTGAATCTACCTCTAAACATGGACATGGCCCGGTTACCCCGGTTTGTAGAGCTGGCGTCCAATGTACCGAGGCTGAGTCCTTGCTGCAGTAGCAGCGAGCAGCAGCAGCAGCAGTCCCCCTTTCCTGTCTGTCTTCAGCTGTCACTATCACTACTACCAATAAAAGACCCAAAAAATACTTTAAAAAAAAACATGGACTTTTGCTTGTTAACCCTGGCCATAGACTACGTTTATTGTTGGGTAAATTGCAAAATAAATACATAAAAAACTAAACAAATCAGTAGATTTGTATGAAGATAAAAAGAAAACCAGAGCAAGGAAGAGTATTGCGGAGTGCCACTAGTGTCATGTGCGGTAAATGACCGTAGCAGTCCGGCTACGTAGCAGTTAGCATTAGCCACACACTGTTGTCTGTATTGCAGGCACAGTGCGACATTTTAACATTTGAAGTAGTAAGTGTTTTCCAATAGCAGTTTGCCCGTAACGTAGACACTGACACCGCGCTGTCCCGGGAGACTAACGTAATAAAAACGTCAGCCGAACGACAGGCCGCAAATGGAGCTGGGGACCTCGCGTGAAATCCTGAGCGCCGCGGAGTGCCCTGTACCGACCGGTGTGCGGGAGGAGACCCCGGGGGAAGAGGCGACAGGAGGAGAAGGCAGCACCGGGATGTTTAAGCGGAGAGCAGACGAAGACACCGCGGCGGAGATGGAGGTGGAAGCGTGTGAGGAGGATTGTGGTGATGATGCTGAGAACCGGATTAAAACCGAGGAGGAAGATGCTGGAAAACACGAGGAGGAACTGGACCCCAGAATTCAGGCATGTTATCATTATTACTTAAGTATTCAATAGATGATGTGTTTACACAATCCAGTTTTGTATAAGTGCATATGAGATATTTACTAAGCAAAGTTGTAATAAACATAAACATATACATGGCACTGTCTGCTCCTTCCACAGACTGGTACCTGGCATGGGCAGCCTCACGCTTGCATCTCTGGGCTGCAAATGTCCCCCCGCTGAACACTGTTTCATTGTTTTATTTCCAGCATCTTTCCAGTTTTCCAGTGCATATTCGGCTGTTAACATCCTTCCCATGTGTTTCCAGGAGGAGCTAGAGCACCTCAACCAGGCCAGTGATGAGATCAACAAACTGGAGTTGCAGCTGGATGTAAGAAAGTTCACAGACTGTTCACTTGTCCTGTTATCACAGCTTCATGCTTTCACACAGTGTCATGGCAGGGCTCAGTGAGTGTGAACTGCCATGTTTTGTCCCATTTGTGTGCTCCTTTTAGGATGCCAGGTCCAGCTACAGGAGGATTCTCACTGATTCTGCAAGGAAGCTCAACGCTCAGGGCTCCCAGCTCGGTGCCTGCATTGATAAAGCAAGACCCTACTATGAATCCCGCAGACTTGCCAAAGAGGTACGTTGTTGCTGCACGTGAGTCTACAGGGTACGTGTGTGGACTGCTATGAGAGCGATGTACTCAGTCGGCAGGTCCACCTAGTGTAAACCAAGGAAACTAAGTTCCTGTTTACAGCTGGTATTAACATGCATCCAAGGTGATCCGATCACAGGTGGGCAGTTCTAAATACTCTTTTCTCATCTCAATTCTGGGACACATTTGACACAGAATACAAAATATCTTTTGTGGTGTAAATGTTGTGGCGAGGATAAAGTGAAAATAAACCTAATACTTTGACCAACAACCAAATTAGGTAAAGGAACCGACAACGCCACCCTGGGAATTTCCCCCAGAGAATTAATTTGGAAAGCACACAGGTAAGTTTACTCAGTAAGGCATGAGACGTGGTTCAGGTATTCATAGAAAAATATACAATTTTATTGTTAAATAATTAGTTAAAAATATTTCAGTTTCATTCATACAAAAGCAAATCTAAACAGGGGAATCAAACAAAAAGGGCGGGGCTGGAGCCGAGTGTATGGACAGGGGCTTAGTGCGAGGGGGGCGACTCACCCAAAATAAGAAATCAACTCAAAAACAATCACTGACACACACTCAGTGAAGTGCAACCCGCTTCCCCGGACACAGCAGACAGAAGGGGATACCACCACGGTCCGTGTTGTTTTGTCATTGATTTTCTTTCAGAAACGGGTATTAAAAACAGAAAACGAGTGGTTATTTGATTTTCGTTTTAAAATACAAAAATTAAAATTGAAATACAAAGCGTTTCTTTTCATGGTCAGAAAGGGATGAGCGAAATTAAAAATTATTCGATTTTCATTTTCTATTTCATAAACAAAAATTAAAATCACTAGAAAACAGAAACAGAAAAAAGGTTTTTTTCTGAGACGGATGTTGTCATTTACAGGACGGTGCTGTTAGAAGAAACAGTAGCTGGGGTGAGTCCGATCTCCGTGGTCAAATCAGCACTTAAATTTAGAGTGTCATTCTCAGCATTATGGTAAATGCGGAGAAAATGGTTTTCAATAAAGGTTTTAGAACAGTAAGCTATAATTAAAATATGTTACATTAAAGTGTTTCTGCGCCCTGATGAATAAAAAAACACTTTATATCAAGTATCTTTACTGCACCAGTGTGGAGAAATGCCAAAATAAACGTCTCATATTTATGCCTCCAGAGATTGCATATTTGACCATATTTGAGGTACTGTAAAACATATTGCTCAGTGTTTCCTGGCTACTGATGGTATATTTGACTTTACACATATGAGACTACAAACATACTTAATATCAAGCATTTGTTGGGGAAAACAATGAGATTAAAATAAAATTACTGTAACACTTGCTCATAATTCCTGGCTATGGATGGTATATTTGACTTCTACACATCTAGACTACAAGAATATCAGTTTTTCTTACCATTTGGAGAAATTGAAGAATAAAAGTCCCATATTTATACTTCCAGATTCCATATTTTCTTATATTTTTGAGCTACTGTAAAACATATTGCTCAATATTTCCTGGCTATGGGTGAAGCATTTTCATTATACTTCAATAATGCTGCAGTAATCATGACAAAATTTCACACAAATGTTTAATAACATCTTGATAATATAAACACTAAACACAAAATCCTACACAATTTAATTTGTTTACTTTTCACACAAAATGCAATGCCAGTCCACATTCTTCTTATTTTGCAGCTCTGCTGTGTCCATTTGTAGGTAAAAGGGAAAAATAATTAGTTTTAACTTCAAACACCATTGTACCTACTGTCTCTTCATCACATATTATTTTTTATATTATTCAGTGTGACAGCTGTTGCAGGTGGTTCCACATACAGTTTATATTTTTACAGTAGCTCAAATATAAGAAAATATGGAATCTGGAAGTATAAATATGGGACTTTTATTCTTCAATTTCTCCACATTGGTACAGTAAAAATGCTCGATATTAAGTATACTTGTAGTCTTAGATGTGTAAGTCAAATATACCATCCATAGCCAGGAATTATTGAGCAAAGTGTTTTTACAGTAGCTCAAATATATGAAAATACCACTTGGAGGTACAAATATGGGCTTTTATTGTTGAATTTCTCCAAATTGGTACAGTAAAATGCTTGATATTAAGTATGTTTGTAGTCTCATATGTGTAAAAGTCAGTAGCCAGGAAACACTGAGCAATATGTTTTTACAGTACCTCAAATAAATGAAAATATGCACTCTGGAGGCATAAATATGAGACTTTTATTTTGGCATTTCTCCACACTGGTGCGTAAGATACTTGATATAAAGTGTTTTTTATTCATCAGGGGCGCATGAAACACTTTAATGTAACATATTTTAATTATAGCTTACTGTTCTAAATACCTTTATTTTGAAAACCGGAAGTAATACGCTGTTTCTCCGCATTTACCATAATGCTGAGAATACTTGTACACTCTAAATTTAAGTGCGGCTGATTTGACCACGGAGATCGGACTCACGGCTGGATTGACCGCGTCTTAGCCTACTGTTTATTCTCCACAGCACTGTCCTGTAAATGACAACATCCGGTCTCAGAATATGAAACAACAGGCCTTTTTCCGTTTCTGTTTTCTAGTGATTTTATTTTTTGTTATATGAAATAGAAAATGAAAATCGAATATTTTTTTACTCCCTTTCTGCCATGAAAAGAAAACGCTTTGTATTTCAATTTTAATTTTTGTATTTTAAAACGAAAATCAAATAACCACTGTTTTCTGTCTTTTAATACCCGTTTCTGAAAGGAAAATCCAATGACCAAAACATCACGGACCCACCACCCAGGCACCAGCGCCGCCACCACCAGTCTCCAGCAACTAAAAAGAGAAATAAACAAATTAATGGGCCAATCACAAAACAAAACAAAAGGGCAAATAATCTTAACCAATATCAATAAACGCCCACTTTAAGAAAGGGAAAGTAAACTAAGGACAACAAAACAAATTTAAATAAGTAATCAATCCAAAATAACAAAATTACTCAAATAACCCAACACTCATTCACACACGCACACATGGAGGCCAGGCCCAGTTAAAACACACAGGCGTGAGTATGACAGAGCTGCTCTGGGGCACGGCGTGGGCCGCAGACACCAAGCCGAGGCGACCGCCAGACGAAGCCAAACAGAGCGAAGAACAGCCCCGCAGCCAAGCAACGTGGAGACCGTCTCAGACCAGCAGCGTTGAGACTAGGCAAAGCAAAGCAGCAGCGTTTGAAATAGGACAAAGCAGCAGCGACCCCAATCAGCTGATCGCACGTTACACCTTATGATAGAATACATACCATTAGCGTCACTACGTTTAACCGTAAATACTGCGGTCGATTACTGTACTAACACACATACCTGTGTAGGGACACCCACCCATTCGCACCGGAGGAGGGAGGGAGAGAGAAGATTGGCTACTGCTGGCATTTACCTGTGACCACACTAACGTTAGCCCTCAGACAGCATCAGCTACAATGGCAAGAAAGGGAGGACACTTACCACGCACAAACTATGCCGCACATACGGGACACACAAAGCCGCTGTCCTACAAACAAACACAAATGCCGTGAGCACACAGAAAGGACCGAGCGACCAGTGTGGTAAAACAGCGGGCAGCCATACCTGTCGGGTCAACAACCTATGACCCGAAAGTGACGCACCAGTGATGCCAGAAGCGCAAAAGGAATAGCCAGTGAAGGGTGGTGGCTTTTATACTAGCCCACCTCATAACGGCCACCTGTGGTGCTAAATACACAACAGCAGCACTGAATGACAGATAGCACATGTATACTGCTACATAAACACTAATGCATCATGGGCCACATAGAAGGACTGCCTAATCATCTGACGTCCTGTAACTTGAGATAAGCAGCAGATGTTTGTGAACACATTGTCTGTTTCAACTTATTTGACCACTGAACTAGTAATCACTATATCTTCCTTCAATAATTGCACAATTTTGGGTTATTGCGTGAGGAAAAATGTCATCAACTTTGTGAAACATTATCTACAGCAGATTGGTCATTATATGGGCCTTTCTGTAGTAAGGGAAACATTACACATTTAGTTTTTTTTTATTTTTATTTAATTTTCCAGCTTGTTGGATAGTGGTGATGGTGGCCCAACCTCCTCTTCTGCCATCCACTGTGAGTGACTGTTGGACTGACAGCCTGTCAGCAGCCCGGTGGTGGGAGAGGCAAACTTCTTTGGCATTAATGTCTTTCTTCGTCATATGAGATGTGAAAACATCAGATTTCCACACAGTTGAAAAAACTAAAGTGTGTCCTGCTCATAAAGTTCTGTTTTAAAATCCCACAATGCACTAGCGCCTCTCCTGTGGGACTGTTGAAAGAGTAGGTAGAAACAACTTAATTGAAAACAAGGACAGTAGTAATGGACATTGACTGACAAAAATCTGAGTAGGGTACAGCCCTATAGAGCGAGGAAGTGAGATCCAATCATAAGTGGTCACTCGAGACACATTCTAATGCAACGTGTAAACTGACATACATATAGCTGTCCACTTGTGATCAGATCACCCAAGACACATGTTAATAGTAGTTGTAAACGAGCAGGTCAAGACCGAACTCCTTTCATGTAGGCATCTTTTCATCAGAGGCTATACACTGTAGATATGTTGAGTGTCATTGTGCCTATCCATGCATCTCCCATGGGCTTCAATAGAACTGGCACCAAACTGCATCAGAATGATGGTGTTATGTTTAGTTTCCTTGGTGTAAACTAGTACTGCAATAAATCCTCCTTGTTGATGCAGTTTGTGCTGTTGTTGAATTGTACTGTTATTTCGAGAGGTGATTGTCATGTTTTTATTCTACCCATAGTGATATAATTGAGGTAGACAAAATATCAGTATAACCATGCACGGAGTAACATAGAGACTGACATAAAGCAGTGGTTCCCAATCTCCTGACCCCCACTAGAGGTCGCTAGAGTTTCTTGACTTTAATGTGAAAAAACTTTTCATGCATTTCAGTCATTACTGTTACGAAAACCAAATGAAATTGTTTTTGTTTTTTAAGTTTAGAATATTATTATTGTATACTTTTAAGACCTGAACACACAGAGTCTTCACTCTCTGAGAAACAGCCTCATCCTGCATTTGAAAAGTACGCAGTTAATTTGTCTAAAAAGAAGCCTATTATGTGTGTATGATTCACAATTTAACTTTTGTAGTGGGAGTGTATTATGTATTGGTTGATTCCATTGGGGAAGGTCCACAGCAGTGTTAATTTAATCAATGAAAACTGTGATGAAAAATATTCTTATCTTATTCAATGACCTGCTTGTGGACACTGTAGCCTAGCTGCTGTGGTTGTGGATGTAACCTAGGGCTGGGCGATATGTCTTAAAAATAAAATCTCAGATTTTTTCACACAAAACCCGATTTACGATTTTAATCGATTTTTTTGTAGACTGTTTTTTAGCGGGTGTTTGTGGGCTGCGGTCCTGTATATCTCGCAGAGAGCAACATTTCTCCCACTCGGCTGCATGCCTCTGCTTGAGGTGCTGGAATAAATTGGTCGTACTGCTACCTTTGGTTGCAACAGCTTTCAAACAAACTTTGCAGTGGGTCGTGGTTTGTTTGCTGTCAGACGCCACAAAACCAAACCAGTTCCATAAAACCGACGACACTGTGCCTTTTTTGGGGACGAGCTCATCCTGGCTTGCTGCCATGTTGTGTGTATCTGTGGAGAGGCGGGGGGAGGGGTCAGCGCACTCTGACCTCCGGGAGCCCAAAGGGAGCGCCGGTGTTGTGGAAGTTCAAGAGAAAACCGATTTTTACTAAAAATAAATCGTGTTTAACTACAAATTCGAATTAATCGATAAAATCGATTTCTCGCCCAGCCCTAATGTAACCATAACGCTACTTTCAGTTGGTTGTCATTCATGTTGCCATCAGAAGGAATGAGTTTTAGTACTTTCGAGTGAATAGTATATTAATGAATTAGATGCTCAGCTGTTCTGCAGTGGAGAGAACAGGCACATGGTGTTAACTCTAGGTGAGCAGGAACGATGGAGGAAGTGTGGCACTGTACAAACAGCCAGAGTTTTGAAATGATGACTGGATTTACTGAGGGACAAAAAAAAAAATGTGACAAATATACAAAAAAAAAACACTTAAACTACATCGGGGGCAGAATTTAATACTGGTCTTCTTCCAGTGCTATCGAGGAGGATCTTGTAGAACAGAGAAGGTTTGACAGTCACTGTCCATGGTGCTGATCCTGAGATCACTAGATGAGGATGCTGCAGATGTCGTTCATCAGCTGCTTGAAATTATCCCAAACTTTGGGAGGGAGATACCCTCCCTTTTATTGCTGTGCACCTTTGTCTCTGTCTCTGTTCTTCTCTCTTTACCCCCCCCCAATTTGAAAACTGAGATAACTAATAAAACTGAATTGAATTGAATTGCTACAAGTAGTCAGCCATGGGGTGCCAGCTCTACCAGGTGAGCTACCAGGTATCCCAGTCTATAGTCTCTTAAATGTCAGCAGGGATAGCTGAGATTGAAGGGTTGGTCTGTAATGAAACCTAATTGATTACGTAAAACGTTTAACCGTTGAAGGACTGGAGCACGAGTGGCAGTCATGTTTGATCAACATGCTGAGGATTCATTTGAAACTATAATTGAACTAATGGAAATCGTGTGGAGAAAGAGCAGAGGTCTAATTGATAGTAATAAAGCAAATAATAGATTATTAATCTGAACTGTTAAGCACTGTCACTTGTTAGTTTGTTGTAGTTATAAAAATGCAAATTGGAAAATAGGGAACATGTCATTAGTATCACATCAGTGGTGTTCATATACAGATTTCAGCCGGCTTTGCATTTTTTATCACTTAAACCACAACATGCTTGACAAGCCTGTCACATAAAGACTCCATATGATAAAAACTGTCATCGTAAACAGTGATGGAGTCATTAATCTTTCACCAGCGACCTTACATTTTTTCTGTTATCCTTCTCCATCCAGCCGAGCCTTCCTGCTGCTTTCTCATGCAGAGATGTTGACGAGACCTTCCCATGTGATCAAAGTAACCTTGACTTTAACAGTTTTCTCCCAAACGAACACAGCTGCACCTTCCACCAGGCTTTGACAGAGCTCCCTGAGCTGCTTGTCTGGAATGACTTTGTTCTTTAATTTAAACACCAGTGACACTGAGGTTTGATTTTGAAGGGAGACCTAAACTACATACAGTAACTAACAGCCTTAAAGCTGCAGTAGATAACTTATCTGAAAATAACTTTTTTGTCATTAGTGTGGACATTTTCACTGTGATCTGACAGTAGTACATGAGACTGATAATCTGTGAAAAAATCTGGTTCCTCTGCTCCTCCTAAAGCTCAAATGGCAAGAATCCACCAGACCTGGACGAAAACCACCAATCAGCCTGGTGGATTCTTGCAAATGCCATCAGGAGCACTAGGAGGAGCCAGAGGAAGCAGCTAATCTTTTTCACAGATGATCTGTCTCATGTACCACTGTCAGGATATAGTGAAGGTTTCAGCAAATATGATTTGAAGTTATAAGTTATTTTTATAAAAATTACATACTTTAAAGTCAGATTACATGACGTTTGAAGGAAGCAATAGCACAATCTTTCTCTCACAAATAAAAAAAAGTGGAAGTCATTGGCAATTAAACACAATTCAGTAGACTAGAGGTTTTACTGATAAGTAACTGAATACTAAACTGTTAAATTTAACCACTACTGAATACGTAATATAGAATTCCCTCTGAATGTATAGTATTGAAATATTTTACTTGAAAAACCATTTTAATTTGTTTTGTTTGAATCCCCTTCTTTTTAGCTGTGGCTCAAAGGTAGAGCGGGTCGTCCAACCGGAAGGTTGTTGGTTCGATCCCTGGCTCCTCCAGCTGCATGTTGAAGTATCCTTGAGCAAGTTACTGAACCCCAAATTTCTCCCGATGCTGTGTCATGTGCGTGAATGTGAATGAATGAGTTAGTGTCTGTACGATGGACTCTGCCATCACTGAATGTGTGTGAAAGGGCGAATGTGGCATGTAGTGTAAAAGCGCTTTGAGTGGTCGGAAGACTAGAAAGGTGCTACACAAGTACAGGTCCATTTATATTAAACTGTCTTTATTAGTCATCCCAAAAATCACCAACTCTGGTTTGGTTTCAATAAATATTTTTTGACTTATTCAGAGTCAGTGTATTAGTTACAGTAGACGGTGGTCATTACAATATTGGTCTAATTAACAAAAACAAAACTAAAAACTAGAAGTAGGAGTGATGAAAATTTGGAGTTATAAAATTAAAATAAAGTACTGAAATATAAACCAAAACTAAACAAAACTATTTTGTGTACTTACAAAATGAACTAAAATAAGATAAAAATATACAGGAAATGTCTTTTTTAATCTTTTTGGTTACATATGTTCAAAGAGACGGGAATGTCTATATGATTGAGTCAATGTGTTTCTACCTAATACCTATTCTGAACTTTAAATCTTGCTCCTGATATATAACCTCAATGTTATAATATACAAAAACTAAAGTTAACACTCAAACTAATAAAAAAAACAATAAAAACTAAACAGAAACAAGCAATAACCCTCTCTGGAAACTAACTGAAACTGAACTGAATTGAAAACAAAATTTTAAAAACAAAACAAAAATGAAAACCAATGAAAATCTATTATAAGTCTATAATTTTCATGTCTTGAAAATCATCTTTAAGTCAGCAAATTAACAATTTGAATAGATGCTGGCAGCTTGTTGATCCTCTCTGCTTGCAGCCTTTAAAAGAGTGCACCATTTTATTGTTGCAGAACATTTTGTGATCGGTTAGAATGTTTTTTTTAGCTGCCGCTGTCTGTTTCCCCCAGGCCCAACAGGAGACCCAGAAGGCAGCTCTGAGATATGAGAGGGCTGTGTCCATGCACACTGCTGCCAGAGAGATGGTGTATGTGGCTGAGCAGGGCCTCTTGGCAGACAGGAACACCATGGACCCAACCTGGCAGGAGATGCTCAACCATGCCACCTCCAAGGTACACACGCAGCAACTTTAATGTATTTTATACAGGCAAAATTGGGGGAATTTTTGAACTTGTTTGATTCATTAATGCAATAGATGGTGTCTTTGAGCCAAGTTGACATGAACCGTTTACAGTGCATCCGGAAAGTAACAGCGCTTTACTTTGTCCACATTTTGTTATTTTACAGCCTTATTCCAAAATAGATTAAATAAATGTTTTCCTCAAAAGTCTACACACAATACCCCATAATGACGATGTGAAAAAGTTTTTTTGAAATTTTTACAAATTTATTAAAAATGAAAAACGAAAAACACACATGTACTGTACATAAGCAATCACAGCTTTTGCCATGACACTCAAAATTGAGCTCAAGTGCATCCTGTTTCCATTGATCATCCTTAACATGTTTCCACAATTTGAAGTCCACATGTGGTAAATTCATTTGGACATGATTTGGAAAGGCACACCTGTTTTTTTTGGACATGTAAGGACATATAAGGTCCCACAGTTGACAGTGCATGTCCAAGCATAAACCAAGCCATGAAGTCCAAGGATATGTTTGTAGACCTCTGAGACAGGATTGTATCAAGGCACAGATCTGAGGAAGGGTACAGAAAAACGTCTGCAACATTGAAGGTCCCAATGAGCACAGTGGCCTCCATCATCCATAAATAGAAGAAGTTTGGAACCACCTCGACTCGTCCTAGAGCTGTAGTTTATTGAATACTGATAAATGAATTGTTTTTTAACTTTGTTACATTAGTAAGCTAAATTTGGAAATACATTATTTTCTTTACTTTTTGGACTCATGTCTCAAGTCTGTATTTTTTTTTTTACACCTCTCTAAAGTGGACACATCTGTAAACAGTGATTTCTCACTGTGGATGGAGAAAACAATGGAAAACAATGATATCTATGGAAAGCCGATGAGGTCATTATTCTCGTGTAATCAGATTACGTTTACATTTAGTAAGAATTGTGATTATTTAGCAGTATTACACATTTAATATATATATTTTTTCTTTAATAATACATGAACAGATTGATATTCCTTTTCTCTTTATTTACATATTTGGTGTTGAGGTAATCCAAAAAGTTGTAAAAAGTAATCAGGACAGCAAAATGTTGTCAATTTATATTCATGTTTCTGGTGTCACACAACGTCGCCATCATAAAGCAATGATTTGACCAACATCTAGGTTCATCTGGTTAGCAGGTAGCATAAATGAAAATCGCTGTTTCATACTCCTTCTATTGTTTCACAGAAATAAAAAGAAAAAAGGTAAATTTGAATAACCTTTCAACCACTCAAAGCGCCGTACACTACATGCTACACTTACCTATCTGCACGCTAATGGCAGTGCAAGGTGCCAACTCATCAGAATGTAAACTAAGCATTCCCGTACATTCAAACACTGATGCACAGCATTGGGAGCAGTATCTTGCTCAAGGACACTTCGACATCCAGTGAGAGGAGCAGGGGATTTAACCACCGGCCTTCTGATTAGTGGAAGACCCGCTCTACCTCTGAGCCACAGCCCCAAACAGTGTATCTGCTGTGCATTATGATTAATTCAATTCAATTCAATTCAATTCAATTTTATTTGTATAGCGCCAATTCATAACAGAAGTTATCTCAGGACACAAATAGAGCAGGTCTAGACCGAACTCTTTAAAACATTAATTACAGAGACCCAACAGTACCACCATGAGCAAGCACTTGGCGACAAGGGCAAGGAAAAACTGCCTGTTAAAAGGCAGAAATCTAGGACAGATCCTTCGGCTCTAGGTGGGTGGTCGTCTGTCTCGACCAGTTGGGGTAAGGAGAGAGAGAGAGAGAGAGAGAGAGAGAGAGAGAGAGAGAGAGAGAGCTTGATTAATTAATTAATTAATTAATCACTTGATTGGAATGCTGGAAGATTGGAGTATTTGAAACGTTATAAAGTGATGATGTTCAGAGATTCTCTGCTGGGTCACTCACGAAAACGAGCAACTCCATGGATGAATATCCAGTATTCCATTACAGCCACACAGTTAGTCAGTTGATAGTCAGAGTATGTCTGAATATGGATTAAAGAGATCCAGTCTCCTTTTCTCTGAGCAGAAAACGTTAAAGGTCATTGTTCTGTTGCAAATTTTTCTTACTGTATAAATGGAGGTACATTGGCAGCGTCATTAAGAATAAACACAAATATCAACATGCCACTATTGCTCCATTGTTATTACAACACAAGGTAAAAGGACCTGTACTTGTATAGCGCCTTTCTAGTCTTCCGACCACTCAAAGCGCTTTTACACTACATGCGACATTCACCCTTTCACACACATTCACTCAGTGATGGCAAAGTCCATCGAACAGAAACTAACTGCACAGCACTGGGAGCAATTCGGGGTTCAGTATCTTGCTCCAAGATATTTCGACACGTGGCAGAAGGAGCTGGGGATCGAACGAACCAACAACCTTCCGATTAGTGGACGACCTGCTCTGCCTTTGAGCCACAGCTGCCCATATTAACCTGAACATTCTAAAATAAAAAACTAAAAAAAAAAATGCCCAGGGAAGTATGAATGAGCAGGTAAGACTTAAAAAATGGTTGAAAAATGTGAGTAATTGTTTTATTAGGATTCCAAAGTTGAATGATACCCAGAATTATGTAGGAAGAGTTGGAAGATGGAAAAGGGATGAGGGATGCAAATTATAGTGTAAGTTGCAACAAGCTACATTGCTATTGATGGCTATGAGCTCCAGTGGAACTGTCTGTTTGCCGCTCTAAATTCATGAGCCTAAATAAACTGAATGAAAACAAAATCTAGCTAAATATCTCTTAAACATATCTCACAACACTGGGTGTAGTCCTTTATTGCTTCATCCTCTGAATCCACACAATGGTGACACACAAGCCCCTATACTGCCCCTCTGAACTTAATGATATTTTGTGTAAGTGATCATCTCACATCCCATCTGCTATTCTGCTCACTACTTCATGCTGCTTCTGTCAGTCCTGTTGTTCGTGAAAATCTTGATATTGATTTGAGGATAGTGACGTGACTAAAAGCTAGCTTGTCTTGTTAAACATACTGTGAAATTGTATTTACCGTTTGTCAACCGTACAGTGTTATTGACTTTGAATGTTGCTAGCATAACGTTAGCTCTGTACTGTAGCGCTCTATGAGTGGAGGCAACTAGAAACATCTCCCATTGCCTAGTCGTATCTATGGTCCGTCCTATTTTCTGAAGTAGTGAACAATGTTTCAATTGCATTAGACATTTATGGGAAGGTAAAGATTCTTCCAGGTATAAGTCTAACCCTCAGATGTTACCAGGGAAATTGAGTTATGGGTTTTAAAAAAGTTTAGATTTTGATTGCGAAACACATAAAATCTAAAAATCTAATTATCTTATTTTTTTTCTTTGGCAGAAATTAATGGACTTCGCAAAGGCAACCGTCCAATATGGTTCTGGCCATTAATTCCTGATAATGTACACCTCGTCTGGCCTTATCCCTCACATAGTTCACAGAACAGTGTCAGTTTTCATCAAGACTGTTTCTCCAGTTGATGACATGAATCTTGGCCAAGGAACTTGGCCATGTATACATGAAATGCATTTATTATAAATATACCTACTACTACATGAATTAATAAATAAATGTTCACGGAGGACATGTTGACAGGTCGTAGTAGCAATGGCACTGGTGTAGATAATCAAATGATGGCTTAACTCCATTTAGCTGCTTCAGTTTCAGGGTCTTGGTATTGTGTATGCTGGCTCACTGTCACACTGCCATGGCTTACTGAGACTGACACTTGAATAGAATGGGGCTGCTGTTAATGTTATTAGTAACACTTTTACTTTTCCTACAACGACGGGGACAATGACAATCAGGGGGCGGCAGTAGCTCAGTGTGTAGGGACTTGGCTTGGGTCCCACAGACCACAATATGGAGTGTGGACTGGTAGCTGGAGAGACCCAGTTTCACCTCCTGTGCCCGAGGTGCCCAAGAATGGGTGTGTGTGTGAGTGTATAAAATAAAAAAGAGGGTAAAGAACAATTTAGGGGATTAATAAAGTATATATCTTCTATCTTTATCTTCATGACAAGTCAAAGTGTGTGCCGGGAAAAAAGGCCTGGTGATTGTGTCCACCTAAATATCAGACCATGCTGCGGCATAGGCAGAAGGTGTGACTTATGTTCCTCCGCTCACTCGTATTTCCTTTGCTGGTCAGGTGAACGAGGCAGAGGAGGAGCGCCTCCGCAGTGAGCGGGAGCATCAGCGAGTCACACAGCTCTGCCAGGACGCAGAGGCTCGAGTCCAGACCCTCCAGAAAGCCCTGAAGAAGGTCATCCTTAAATCCAAACCATACTTTGAACTTAAAGCTCAATTCAATCATATTCTGGAGGTTTGTACTGGCAGTTATTTATTTATTTTTTTAAGATTTTGTAACACATTACAATACACACATTGTGTTCATACTGCAAACCACAAGTGAATGATTTTGCTTTTGTGACCAAGAGGGAGCAGGGACACCTCTCTGAATGACACTCCACATGATTTAGCAGCTTTTTTCGATGATGTACTTTACCTGTGGCTAGTTTCAGCCGCAGTGTTATGGCAGAGTGTGCACAATGTGTCTGTTGATGTGTATGAGAGTTACCTTACATGCAGACATTTGTAGCCTGGAGGCATCACAAACTGCTAGTCAAAGCATTCAACCTTCAGTGACTTTTATTGGAATTTGGAAAATATACCACTTTGGCCTGCAGCTGTGCAGCCACTTTGAGTTGCTTTATTTTCCCAGTCAAATTTTGTGAAGGCCAAGTTGAGAGATTTGAACCAAATGGAATGTGTTGAATGGGAAACACTGAGAGTAGTGTGGGTTTTGGAAAACTTTGTATGCTATGTGTAAGGTTGCAAAGGGGTGGACATTTTCCGGTAAATTTCCGGAAACTTTTCGGAAACTTTCCAATTTGGAAACTTTCATGGGAATTCATCGAAATTATGGGAATTAATGGGAAATTATGGGAATTAATGGGAATTTAGGAGAATTAACTGGAAAAGTTGGGTAATTCATACAAACTCCATCTTATACAAACATAAATATAAACATTTTGTTTTGTAATAAGCAGACAGGCATATACAGTGAATACAAACCCAGTTGAGTTATTTGTCAGTAGAACTTTAATAGAGTTTTGTTTTTCGAGCTGGTTTGCTAAATAGGCTAATGTAGCTAACAATAACACTAGCCTGCCACTACCCCTGGTGGCTCGAGAAAAACGCCACAGCACTTGTTGAAATTGAAATAGGCGAAAATGGCAAAATATTATTGAAATGTAAGACTTGCAATGACGGAATTACTTGAAATGTTAGTGTTTCTGTAGAAAAACATTATTATTTCACATTGAGCTTGTTAAGATGAGCCACAAGCAAAAACAAGACAGCTGCTGCACTGGTGGCGTCCATGTTCTTTCCGGCTCGTAATGCCCAAAGACAAATGGAACGCTGTAAGTTGTACAAGTGAGGCATTTACGTCATGTTCTTGCGTCAGAGCAACTTGGTCGGGGGATTTACGAGACAAATGGATAGCACCATAAGTAGTAGCCCAAACCACTGACCTTTAGCTTAACATATGATGGTAGCTAGCATGCTGCCTTTGATTTACTATGGCTATGGCTATGGTTATGGTTATATGCGTACAATACAATTAACCCAAATAGGTTAATAGCAATGGGTTATGTATTAACCCCCCCCCCAAAAAAAGAAAAAAACTCCCATATTTTAAAAAATAAATGTTGGCAAGTATGTAGTAGCCTATGCAGATTACTGCGTGTGTGCATGTCATTGACGAATATAGGGAGGACATTCAACTGAAGCTGCATTAAATCAGGTTGTTTTAAGCAAGATTATCCTGCAAGATGTTTCTTTTCAACTACACGTAAGTTCCCTGTGATAGACTAACAGTATTAGAGCAAGCAATATTAAATATATACAGTTTATTCCCATTAATTCCTGTTTATTCCCGCTAATTCCCGTTAATTCCCATATATTCTCGTTAATTCCCAGTTTCCAACTTTGAAAATTCCAGGAATTTTGCAACCCTAGCTATGTGCTGATGTATGTGTGACACTGATTTGTATTCCTTTATCTTTCAAGCTGTGTTGGCATGTTACATCATCAACCTAATTGATGCAATCAGGTGACATTGCTGGCATTTATTAGCTGTTGTTTCCAAACTGCTACTGATGATGGATTTTAACTAAATAGAACAATGCCTATGTAATTGTATGGAGAAACCTTACTCTTCTGTGTGTTGAATATGGGCGGATCTCCAGGATTTTGGGTAGAGTTATCATTTTTATTGCTGAGAGGTAAATTCTCAGATTTGTTGTCGTGTTTGTGGACACAAACAGAAATAAACAACTGTTTGCTAACAAGTTCACCATAGTGACTTTATAATGTGATGTCAATGTTGTATTTAAACCTGCAATAGTATCTTTTTATAAAAATGTTTTTGTTATATTTACTGACAGTAGTACATGAGACCAGTAACCTGTGGGGAAAAAATGTGGTTCCTCCGGCTCCTCCTAGTGCTCCTAATGGCATTTGCAAGAATCTACCGGACCTGAACTAAGACAACCAATCAGAGTCAAGAAAGATAATTGGTGCCAAGGCAGAGGTCTGTGACACCGTTAGGGTCCATGTCAGCAGCTGTGTGGGAGTTGGCGGGATAAAGAGTGACTAGGCAGACGGCGAGAAAACCAGGCTGTGGGTAAAGAGGCACATAGAGAGTGGCTGGGGCCAGAGGGAGTGGCTGGAGGTGGAGCAGGAGCAGGCCAGCTCAGACTGCATGTCAGTCAACAGCCTGCAGACCATCACCTCTGACCTGGAAAAGTGTGACTCGGTGAAGCACCTGAGTGATGCCGGGAGTGTGCTGGGTGAAGAATGGGACTGCGACAGGAAGCCTAATGAGAGGCCAGTCAAAGATAATTGATAGCTGAGTTTCATTCCTGTCAAATACACATACTTTGGGAACAATCGACTTTCTTCAAGCTTCCAACCCAAAGTGTCTTGATATCTTTCTCTGTTCTGATTGGTTGTTATGATCCAGGCCTGGTGCATTCTTGCAAAAGCCGTTAGGAGCACTATAACGTGCCAGAGGAACCTGATTTTTTTGCAGATGATCTGTCTCATGTACTGCTGTCATAACAGTGAAACTTGAAGCAATTATGACAATAACTTACTGCTCCTAAGTGGCCACAAAATCAATTGATACAGCTTTAAAAATCACCTTGACATAATTTTTGACTGTAAAATGGGATGACTAATTGTCAATATAGGATAGCATAATAAAGTAAACGACTGATGAGAACGCTTTGACCAACAGTTTTTATAAGTGGAAGGCTTAAACCAAAATAAGTTAAAGTAAAAATGACCAACTTAAAAGTTACTCAGCTCCTCCATCAAAGCAAGTTTGGGTATTTTGAAGTTGGCTTGTATGAGGTACTTATCCATAGTGTATTACCTGCAGTAGATGGCCTTATGCAGACAGGGATCATGGCACAGAAGCAGAGCTATGCACTGCTGTGGATGGGGGCAGCAGACAAACATACGTTAGCTACATAAAAAAGGCCCACCACAACAAAAGGTTAGGCCTGTTTTTTTACGTGGCAAAAATTTTTTTCTGCTGACCCCCTCTACATCGTCTACTATAGGTAACACACACAAGTATCTCATGCAACCACACTTTAAAAAATCTGAACCGGTTTAACTGTCAAGTGCCAGGAGAAAGTTCAATGTATCACTATACACAAATCGCTTTTGGTACCAGATACCTTTCTCCATTTAATTCTCCACTGCAGATATTACCCCCTTAATGTAGGTGCCAGTACTTTAGCACAACCCAAATAACATACCCTAACCCTAATACTTTTGGCATTTTTATCCATTTTTACAAGGACATTTCTGCGCTGTTTTGTCAAGCTAGCAATGTGTTTACACAGGGATGCATACAGTTCCATGGACATTAGCCGTACCATGCAGTTGAAATGAGGCAAAAGAGCGTTGCTAACTGTGTTAATTGTTTTTCAGGAACAAAAGGCTAAAGTAGTACAGCTGGAGGAACAGGTGGCAAAAGTAAAAACACGTTACTCTGTGGCCCTTCGGAACCTGGAACAGATCAGCGAGCAGATCCATGCGCAGAGGGGGCGAATCAGGGTCAGCAGGGGAAGTCCTGCAGTCTGCGGGGGACGGAGCTCCCCTGTAGGTGCCGAGGCAGAGGTCCGTGCCACCATCGGGGTCCACGTCAGCAGCTGTATGGGAGTCGGCGGGATAGAGAGCGACTGGGCGGACGGCGAGAAAACCAGGCTGTGGGTAGAGAGGCACAGAGAGAGTGGCTGGGGCCAGAGGGAGCGGCTGGAGGTGGAGCAGGCCAGCTCAGACTGCATGTCAGTCATCAGCCTGCAGACTATCGCCTCTGACCTGGAAAAGTGTGACTCAGTGGAGCATCTGGGTGACCTGAGTGATGCTGGGAGTGTGCTGGGTGAAGAATGGGACTGCGACAGGAAGCCTAATGAGAGGCCAGTCAGTAGGGTGGTGACCGAGGGGCCCCGGCAGGAGGAAGCCCATCAGGAGAAGGCAGCCGTTAGTAAAGAGAAGCAGGAGAGCTTCATAAAGCAGCACCACAGAAGCATTAGTCTATGATTGTCAGTAGGAGGAAACTGATGGATAATGACGAGTGAGGGTCATGGCGAGCATTTGATAAGTGATCAGAGAGGAAATTAGAGGAGAGAGAGAAACTGACTGAGAGCGCTGCGCTGACACTGCATTAAGGAATATCAGGCAGGTACATTGGCTGCACACTAATGAATCACTATGTGACAGCAATAAACAGAGAGCAGTCCTGCAGAGAGCACTGACCTCCCCTCATGCTTGTACTCAGTCTGTTGCCCCACATGCCGAAACATCAACACAAGTTTTCATGCTCTTTGTGCAAACTAATCCCTGTCGAGTACCAACAGGCAATTTAGAAGCAATGCAAACACATGCTAGTTGTCGTCAAGTCAAGTCGTCTACTGTGCTGGCATAGTATCAACTTTAAGTTCTGATAACACTGGATTCACTTAAGTAACTGCTGAGATCTGGGAACACGGGTTCTAAACAAGTTTATCACCTAAACCTTATTTGGTGGTCCAACTGTAAGTGAGTTCACCTGAAATGTTGTTAATAATCCCTTATTACACAGTGAAACTGTTGCCCACAACTGCAGTGTGTATGTATAATATGTAGTGTTGGGACTAATTATATTATTGCGTATTGCGAAAAAAAACACTCATAATACTATCACAGGCGAACTTCAACCAATCAACGTAGTCAAATCCTTACTGAAATCAGTTGGAAGTAGAGAGAAAACCTCTTTTCTGTTTGCCCGGGTCGTGAGGTTAGGGTCAACTCTCCATAACCCAGACTAACTATTGTCTCTGCGTTCTGTGTATGCTATAGCATGGGGGGATGGGAGGCATCATTTTGATAAACCTTTACTGTCTGGTGCAAGATATCTGCATTAACAATTACTACAACCTCTAATTTCATGGCTATGAGGAGTATGTGCTGCATCAGTGGTAGCATGTGCAAAGCTGCTGGTAATGAAACTGAAAACGTCGAGCTTAAACAAAATAAAATAATGAGCTGTCAGCCTCCAGACAAACTAATATTTACCCTCAGTAGCTGACAGATACAGGAGGAAAAACTCATTTTGTTGTTTTTTTTTTTTTATTTGTCAGTGACTTTAACCAGTTCCATTACTTTGATCGGGGAGGTGCATTCTTCACATTGGGAACATACATCCATGACGGGAGCCATGTCACACCTCAGCAAAGGTGTGATCTAACCCCAACCCTAACCCGCCCAAAGATTGTCCTCGTTAACTAGTAGTCTTTAGATAAAGGCAATATTCGCCTAGTCATAGCACTTTTATTATATTAATTAAATTATTCAAATATATAGATTTTAACAGCCGCCTGTTAAATGAAACGGAAAAAGTGGTAATGATTCTGTGTCAGAACAACCAAGACTGAACATTTAGTTAATTTACTACAACACAGTATAACATCTGTTACGTGTCATTGTACTTTTTCTATCCTTTTGCCTGTGTGTCTGTTATGTCTCTGTGTTCAAGGTGCAGTCCTGAGTGATGATTGAGGGCACCTGCATGAAGCTGTGGGTGTGGCCTATAAAAGTGGATCCTTTCTCCACCCTCCCTCTTTCTCTCAACTCACTGGCACAAGATCACAGCCTTTGTTTGTGTTGCTCTTCCTTTGTCTTTTTGGTAATAAATGTATTCCTTTGCATCGTACCAATATGGTGTCTCTTAAATGTGTTGTGGCTTTGAGCCGGTCTCAGTCATTTCAGTGAAGACAGGCCTGGGGTGGGGAAAGGTCTGAGTGAGTCCAGTGAGGACAGCACTGAACCTTTCCGTATGGAGGGGTTGGTGGCCACCTCTGAGTCAGAGGAGTTTGTCCCAGTTCGTATCCTAAGAGATACAGCAGCCGCTCAGTCTTTGTTGGTGGAGGGAATATTGCCCCTTTCTGAAGAAACCTCTACTGGTGAAAATGCTTTGGTGCGTGGGTGTGGACTGACTTGGTTTGAAGTCCCATTGCATGTTGTGTACTTACAGTCTGGTTTGGTTACAGGCCCTGTGGCAGAGGCTATTCATCCTGAACTTCCTGTAGAAGGAGTGGACATGATGATTGAAGTGTTTCCTGCTTGTGTTGTAACTCGCGCTCAGTCACGTAAGGTTGAGGATGTGGTAGACCTTTCAGAAATGTTTATAGCTCCATGTGAAGAAACTGTTGGGACTGCGTCTAATGGTCCCTCTGCCACTGCTGAGTTAACTTTAGCTAAGCAGTTTACTGATTGCACTGTAGCTGATACTTTTGAGGTTACATTGTCCAGTCCTGTCACCTTGTCTGATGAGTCTGAGACTCAAGTAAAGGTTGGCAGGGAGCAGCTGATAGAGGCTCAGAAGGCCGATCCTTCTTTGGCTAAGTGTGTAGCAGCAGTGTTGCCTAAAGATGCCAAAATCTGGTCACCAGTTTCTCCTGACTTTAATGTGTGCTACAACTCGATACCCAAAGGCAATTCCACTGCCTTCCCTCAAAGCCAAGGTGGTAGTGAAAGAATTGATGAAATTCTGTACCACTTTTGGGTTGCCAAAGGTCATTCAACCACCAATTCACCAGGGTACCAATTTTATGTCAAAAGTGTTTTCTCAGGTTTTAGAAGTGTTGGCTGTGAAACATCAGGTCTCTAGCACCTACCACCCAGAGAGCCAGGGGGCACTAGAGCACTTCCACCAAACCCTTAAGACTATGTTGCGTGCTTATTGTCTTGAAACTGGTAAGGAATGGGACGAAGGTATACCATTCCTGCTTTTTGCTATTCGAGAGACTGTTCAGGAGTCATTGGGTTTCAGTCCTGCGGAACTGGTATTTGGCCACACAGTTCGTGGACCGTTGAAGTTGTTGCGTGAGCAGCTTCTAGTCAAAACGTGCTGGACTATGTCAGTTCTTTCAGAGAGCGTCTTCATCATGCCTGTGAGGTAGCAAAAGAAGCACTGTCTGGCTCCCAATCTAAAATGAAGGCTCACTTTGATAAGGGTTCTATTGAACGCAGTTTTAAACCTGGAGATTCTGTGTTGGTTTTTCTTCCTATTCCTGGTTCAGTGCTTCAAGCTAAGTTCACTGGCCCTTATGTGATCGAAAAGAAACTGAGTGAAACCAATTATGTTATTGGTACTCCTGATAGGAGACGAAAGACTTGTGTATGTCATGTGAACATGCTCAAGCCTTATGTTGACAGGTTCGCTGAAACGTCTCTCTCCCCTCCAGCTATGTGTTGCCTGTAGCTGTAACAGCATTGCTGCCATGCTATTCTCCTCTGGATGATAAGCTAGTGGTGCAAGATGCTCCTGTTCTGTGTGCTCGGCTGCCGAATTCCCAAGTATTAGGCGATTTGGACAATCACCTGTCTCATCTTTCTGGGACAGATAAGAGTAATATTCTCAAGTTAATTGAAAGCCGTCATTCGCTATTTTCAGATGTACCGACCCAAACCACTGTGTTACAGCATGACATTGATGTTGGTGACTGTCTTCCTATTAAGCAGCATGCCTATTGCGTGAATCCCACAAAAAGAGCTCAAATGCAAATAGAGGTTGAGTATTTGCAACAGCATGGCCTGGCTGTTCCCAGCTTCGGTGCCTGGAGCTCTCCGTGTTTATTAGTGCCAAAGTCTGATGGAACACCACGCTTTTGTACTGATTAAAGGAAACCTAATGCTGTAACTAAACCAGATTCTTTTCCTCTTCCTCGTGTAGAGGATTGCATCGATAGAGTTGGAGCTGCTCGCTACGTCACCAAGTTGGATCTGCTAAAGGGCTACTGGCAAGTACCGTTAACACCACGTGCTTCTGAGATCTCTGCATTTGTGACACCAGACAGGTACATGCAGTATACAGTCATAGCATTTGGTATGCGCAATGCCCCTGCCACTTTCCAGCGCCTTATGAAAATGGTGCTGTCTGGTGTGGCAAACTGTGAGGTCTACCTTGATGATGTGGTAGTCTATTCTGCTGACTGGCAGTCCCACGTGGAAACCTTGTCTGTTGTGTTTCAGTGTTTGCAAGATGCTTCCCTCACACTGAATCTGGCAAAATGCGAGTTTGCCAAGGCCACCGTCACTTATCTTGGCAAGAAGGTTGGTCAGGGTCAAGTGCGGCCAGTAGATGCCAAAATAACAGCTATCGCTGAGTTCCCTGTTCCCACCAGTAAGCGGGAACTGCGTCGCTTTCTTGGACTAGCTGGTTATTATAGAGGGCTCTGCCGTAACTTTGCTGCAATTGTGTCTCCTTTGACTGACCTCCTTAGCCCCACCAAGGATTTGTTTTGGGACACCAAGTGTGAGCTAGCTTTTCAGTCCGTAAAAGCGCTTCTCAGCTTTTCTCTGGTTTTGTTGGCTCCTAACTTTGCAATGCCGTTTAAGTTGGAGGTTAATGCAAGCGGGACTGGTGCTGGTGCTGTATTGCTGCAGGACGCTTCTTCAGGTATCGATCATCCCGTTTGTTATTTTTCCAAGGAGTTCTCTGGAGCCCAACACAGGTATAGCACTGTCGAAAAAGAGACTTTTGCCATGCTTTGGGCCCTCCAACATTTTGAGGCTTATGTTGGCTCAACACCACAGCTGGTGTTGGTTTTTACTGATCACAACCCTTTAGTCTTCCTTAACCGCATGTATAATAACAACCAACGGCTCATGCGGTGGGCTCTTATGGCCCAGAACTTTAATATAGATATTCGGCATAAGAAGGGGTGTGATAATGTTGTGGCCGAAGCCCTCTCACGTGTAATCTAGGATATTGATGCTGACAGCATGGCTGTCATCTTAAGGGAGGGGGTGTTACGTGTCATTGTACTTTTTCTATCCTTTTGCCTGTCTGTTATGTCTCTGTGTTCAAGGTGCAGTCCTCAGTGATGATTGAGGGCACCTGCATGAAGCTGTGGGCATGGCCTATAAAAGTGGATCCTTTCTCCGCCCTCCCTCTCTTTCAACTCCCTGGCTCAAGATCACAGCCTTTGTTTGTGTTGCTCTTCCTTTGTCTTTTTGTTAATAAATGTATTCCTTTGCATCGTACCAATACGGTGTCTCTTAAACGCAACACAGGTTTCATTGTTCAAAACACGTAATAAATAACTTCCAGCCTTTCTAAAACAAATACTGGCAGACTTATCCACACGATGGATGATTAACAGTTACTTACTAATTAATTTGTATTAATTTGTCGCTCATTCCAGCCTCGCTCCTTAGCAGTATTTCCCATTGGGCCCTGTGCTCCTATGCTAGTAGTGTTTAAACTCCGCCTGTCCTTCAAGCTCCAAGTCCGGGTAAAGTCAGTTTATAGAACTGCTAACTAGCTAGTACAGTTAGCACATGCAACAGTTCACCGGTAAGAGCCTCCCTGTGTTACAAGAGGAAAGGTCCATTTTGCAACAGTCTCCTGATACTGTGGTCCTGGTGACGAGCAGCTCCCGATTTTGTTTTTCTGTGACTATCTGACTAATGCAAAGTGGGTTGTCTAACACCCTGTTCACATATGCCGCCTGAACAGCGTGTAGTGCCTCCTGCGCTTGACAGCTGCATCTCCCACGCACGCTGTGTTCACACCGAGAGCATGTTGTGCGATGTTGCCACGCCTGTGTTTCCCTATACACTTTTCCCTGTATAATGTCCATGAAAAATCTAAAATTTCCTATCATTAAATTTTCAATGCCATATAGTTTTAATGTGGTAACCAGAAAGCATGTGTGATTTGTTTACCCGAGAGAGTGAGCGAGAGAGAGACAGCCAGTGGAAAGATACTGCCCGTCATCCGGCTCACTTCCAGAAATTCTTCTACAAATTCTTTTCAAGTGAAGTCGTGTTAAATAAAAGATTACTACAGTGCTTTTACTTTTAACAATCGAAACTCTACTGAAATATATGGATATGACTACCAACATATCCTTTCACTGTACTCTTGGGCTCACGGTAAAAAATAGGCAAGACCATGACTCTCTAGTGAAGCCTTGCTGCAGACACAGCTGAGGTGCGTATGAGACATGACCACTCTAATTTGTTAACATGGGCGCCAAAATAAAAATCAAGACGTTCTACCACGCAGACTTGGGCAGTCTGAATAAGCCTCTTCTCAGCAACTAACAGTTAAGACGACTGTTAACGGGCAGCTATACAAAATGTATAGTCTATAAGTGCAAGACCCTTAGAAGTAGTTTGCCTCGTTGTCGAGGGCCCTTCATCATCTCCTTGATCTATGGCATGCCCTATTGGCCTCTCAGTAAACTAAGCTAATAATCTTATGTTGTTGTAAAACTGGAGGACACTAGCGAGCAAAGCATGGAGCAAAGCCGTCCTGAGCGAACAATCGTGACACCAAAGCTTCTGAGAAGCTTCTGCCAACTTTGTACAAAGCAGCTGTCTAACTCTACAGCCACAACAAATGTGCCACTTATGTTGATGTTATGTTTTCCTGTATGGCGTTATGCAGTTGCACTATGGGTTTTGAGATTATTCGTTCAAATGAATTGCATGCCATTTCAAGTTTGTTCGAAATTAATTTTTTGAAAAAGGAACAGCCATACCTGCCAGCCCAATATTTCCACTGATACAAACTTAAGTCAAACAAAACCAATTTACTAATTAACTAACCTATCTATCAGCCGACATCATCATTAGGTTGCTGTTCCATGTCCTCCTGTTTACTGCCATGAAACCAGAGGCCTAAGTCTCTGCTATTGCACATTTGCAAACTATTGCCATATCCCAAGTTATGCCGATGGAAATAGCCAAATATTTGATAAGTTGGTGATTTATTTTATTTTTATTTAAAGTGCCTATGACTCCTAATAATTGGGTTCGGTTAGCCAAAAATGATCACACTATTGAAAAATCTAAGAGGTTGATGCTACATATATATATATATATATATACAGTTACATTAAAATATAATGTAGAATTATTTAAAGGAGCTTAAGTGAAACCAGGAGAGTCTGTTTCAACTGAGACAGCTGTAGTCTGTAATTAATTCTTTTTTATATTATGTCGTGTTATGTTGTATATTATTTATTATAATAATTATTATGTTTAAGGTAAATCCAAGCTGTATGATTTAAACGGCAATGTTTGACACTGATGATAGAGATATATTTTGTATTCGTTGTCTTCAAATGCAAATACAGAAAGTTCCCAGAGTTCAGTGTTTTTCCCGGAAGATTATCAGTTTCATGTTTGAAATATTTCCACATTTATGTTTGTGTATGAATTATGCAAAAGAGATTTGTGTTGTGTGTTTTGAACAGTCAGGCTAGCTGTTACTCCATGTTTACAGTCTTTATGCTAAGCTAGGGTATCCACATCCTGATTCCAGTTCCATACAGACATGAGATTAATATCCATTTTAACATCTCACTCATAAAAAGGAAAAGTCACAGCAGGTTTTGAATTTTCCATCAGTACAGAGTAGGACGATACTAATGGGTATCTGACTTTCAATAAAAGTCCAATATCAGCCTGACATATTGGGAAAACGATAAATCAGTGTAATCCTAATTTTTGTAGGCTAATGTGTAACTGAACTCTATCCAAAATGGAAGGAGTCTATCTGCATGTCAGCCCTTCTCGGACAAGCTGAGAAACATTGCCCTGCAGTTCTAGGCTACATATAATATCATCACCATCAGTCACTACTATTAGGGTAGTTCTTGCTACTGTTGTTGCTGTGCACCTTTGTCTTCTGTCTTTACCCCCTCTCTCTCTCTCTCTCTCTCTCCCCCCCCAACTGGTCGAGGCGGCCACCCACCTAGAGCCAGGGTCTGTCCGAGGTTTCTGCCTCTAAAAAGGAAGTTTTTCCTTGCCTCCGTCGCCAAGTGCTTGCTCATAATGGGAACTGTTGGATCTCTAAATAATTTTATAAAGAGTACGGTCTAGACCTGCTCTATTTGAAAAGTGTCCTTAGATAACTTCTGTTATGAATTGGCACCATACAAATCAAATTTAATTGAATATTCATAGTTATGTTTTCATTAGTTTATAAAGAAGAATCGTTTTGTTTTTGTTACCTTAGAATAAGCCACGTTGAACAGTCATATTTCTACAGTAGCCCAGAATGATCCTTGAGCACAATTATTAGGCAAGTTGTAATCCTGAGGATTCATTTTATTTTTGAACAAATACAGTGCTCTCAGTCAATCCAAAACGTTAATAAACCTCAAACCTGAGTATTAAACAAAGGAAAGGAGAATATCTATGTGTGCACAATTTTTAGGCAACTATTAGTGTGCAAAATTACTATGCAACTAAAAAAAAACTAAACTTTTCCCATAACATTTCATTTATTAGAGTAAGAAAAACAAACAACTCCAAATTTACAAATAAACATTTCAACAAATATTCTGTGACCGATATAGTCACCCTTCTTTTAAATAACTGTCATGACCCTTCCATTCATGGAGTCTGTTAGTTTCTTGATCTGTTGATGATCAACTTTTCATGCAGCAGCAACCACAGCCTCCCAAATGCTGTTCAAAGAGTTGTATTGTCTTCCCTCACTGTAAATCTCACATTTAAGAAGGCCCACAAGTTGTCAATAGGGTTTAGGTCAGATGAGGAAGGGGGCCATGTCATTATTCTGTCATCTTTAAGGCCTTTGCTGGCTAGCCATGCAGTGGAGTACTTGGATGCATGTGATGGAGCATTGCCCTGCATTAAAATCATGGCCTTCTTGAATGATGTAGACTTTTTCCTGTACCACTGCAGGAAGAAAGTATCTTCTAAAAACTGGCAGTAGGTTTGGGAGTTGATTTGAAGTCCATCTTCAACCCGAGAAGGCCCAACTAGCTTATCCTGAATAATGGCAGCCCATACAAGACTTGAAGTGAAGCTCTGTGCCCATTAGTGAACCAGCCACAGGCCCATCCATCTGGTCCGTCAAGAGTCACTTTCATTTTATCCGTCCATAAAACCTTTGAAAAATATTTCTTGGGCCAGTCTTGACATTTCAGCTTGTGTCTTGTTCAGGGGTGGTCGTGTTTAGGCCTTTCTGGGCCATGTCTCTGAGCACCGAGCACCTTGTACTTCTGGACACTCCAGGTAGGTTGCATTTCTGGAATATGGCAACACTGGAGGTTAATGGATTCCTGGTAGCTTGAGATTTAATTCTTCTCAAGTCTTTAGGAGTTAATTTGTGTCTATTTTCTCCATGCGGTTTTTCTATTTGCTAACAAAACCTTTCATTGTTCAGTGATCATGTCTCAGTACCTTAGCTACTTCAAGAGTGCTGCATCCCTTTGAAAGGGAATGAAATTTAGCATTTTTTTACCTTTCAGAGTTTGTGAAATCTCTTTTTTGGCCCATTTTGTCTGAGGTAAAGAAGCTGCCAAATAATTATGCACACCTTGATATAGGGTGTTGATCACTTGTTTAGGCCAACCCACCCTCATTACACAAATACACATCACCTGATAATGCTTAAATCCAATTAGGATTCAAGTTTATATACAGTGGGTACGGAAAGTATTCAGACCCCTTTAAAATTTTCACTCTTTGTTTCATTGCAACCATTTGCTAAAATCAAAAAAGTTCATTTTATTTCTCATTAATGTACACTCAGCACCCCATCTTGACAGAAAAAAACAGAAATGTAGAAATTCTTTGCAAATTTATTAAAAAAGAAAAACTGAAATATCACATGGTCATAAGTATTCAGACCCTTTGCTGTGACACTCATATTTAACTCACATGCTGTCCATATCTTCTGATCCTCCTTCAGATGGTCCTGCTCCTTCATTGGAGTCTAGCTGTGTTTAATTAAACTGATTGGACTTGATTAGGAAAGGCACACACCTGTCTATATAAGACCTTACAGCTCACAGTGCATGTCAGAGCAAATGAGAATCATGAGGTCGAAGGAACTGCCCAAGGAGCTCAGAGACAGAATTGTGGCAAGGCACAGATCTGGCCAAGGTTACAAAAGAATTTCTGCAGCACTCAGGGTTCCTAAGAGCACAGTGGCCTCCATAATCCTTAAATGGAAGAAGTTTGGGACGACCAGAACTCTTCCTAGACCTGGCCGTCCAGCCAAACTGAGCAATCGTGGGAGAAGAGCCTTGGTGAGAGAGGTAAAAAAGAACCCAAAGATCACTGTGGCTGAGCTCCAGAGATGCAGTAGGGAGATGGGAGAAAGTTCCACAAAGTCAACTATCACTGCAGCCCTGCACCAGTCGGGGCATTATGGCAGAGTGGCCCGATGGAAGCCTCTCCTCAGTGCAAGACATATGAAAGCCCGCATAGAGTTTGCCAAAAAACACATGAAGGACTCCCAGACTATGAGAAATAAGATTGTCTGTCTGGTCTGATGAGACCAAGATTGAACTTTTTGGCGTTAATTCTAAGCGGTATGTGTGGAGAAAACCAGGCACTGCTCATCACCTGCCCAATACAATCCCAACAGTGAAACATGGTGGTGGCAGCATCAGGCTATGGGGATGTTTTTCAGCTGCAGGGACAGGACGACTGGTTGCAATTGAAGGAAAGATAAATGCGGCCAAGTACAGAGATATCCTGGAAGAAAACCTCTTCCAGAGTGCTCAGGACCTCAGACTGGGCCGAAGGTTCACCTTCCAACAAGACAATAACCCTAAGCACACAGCTAAAATAACAAAGGAGTGGCTTCGGAACAACTCTGTGACCATTCTTGACTGGCCCAGCCAGAACCCTGACCTAAACCCAATTGAGCATCTCTGGAGAGACCTGAAAATGGCTGTCCACCAACGTTCACCATCCAACCTGACAGAACTGGAGAGGATCTGCAAGGAAGAATGGCAGAGGATCCCCAAATCCAGGTGTGAAAAACTTGTTGCATCATTCCCAAGAAGACTCATGGCTGTAGTAGCTCAAAAGGGTGCTTCTACTCAATACTGAGCAAAGGGTCTGAATACTTATGACCATGTGGTATTTCAGTTTTTCTTTTTTAATAAATTTGCAAAAACATTACATTTCTGTTTTTTTTTCTGTCAAGATGGGGTGCTGAGTGTACATTAATGAGAAATTTTGATTTTTTTGATTTTAGCAAATGGCTGCAATGAAACAAAGAGTGAAAAATTTAAAGGGCTCTGAATACTTTCCGTACCCACTGTAGCTTGGAGTTGGAAAATATGCATGAAAATGACAATAAGGTCAAGATACTCACTTGCCTAATAATTGTGCATGCAGTGTATTGAACCCCAAATTGTTCTTGATGCTCTGCTATCAGAGTATGAATGTGTGTGAATGCCCTTAGTTTCTGTTTCGGGTGAGCAGTTGGCACATTGCATGGCAGACTCTGCCATCAGTGTGTGTGTGAATAGGTCAATGTGATGTAGTGTAAATTGCTTTGAGTGGTTGAAAGATTAGAAATTCAATTCAGTTTTTTTTGTATAGCGGCAATTCATAACAGAAGTTATCTCAGGACACTTTTCAAATAGAGCAGGTCTAGACCGAACTCTTTAAAACATTAATTACGGAGACCCAACAGTTCCACCATGAGCAAGCACTTGGCGACAAGGGCAAGGAAAAACTGCCTGTTAAAAGGCAGAAACCTAGGACAGATCCTTCGGCTCTAGGTGGGTGGTCGTCTGTCTCGACCAGTTGGGGTCGAGAGAGAGAGAGAGAGAGACAGACAGACAGACAGGTGCACAGCAACAACAGTATTGGCAATGGCAATCTAGCAGGACCATGGCAGGAGGCTCCACCAGGATCAATAAGAACCTGCGAGACGAGAAAGCACAAGAACTCCGGGGAAGAAGTGAAGTTAGTAACATGCATTAATGGAACATGAATGAGGAAGGGAGGAGCTCAGGACACTTTTCAAATAGAGCAGGTCTAGACCGTACTCCCTATAAAATTATTTACAGAGACCCAACAGTTATTACCATGAGTAAGCACTTGGCAACAGCAACAAGGAAACATTTCCTTTAAAGAGGCAGAAACCTAGGACAGACCCCTCTAGGTGGGTGGCCAGAAAGGTGCTATATAAGTACCGTCCATTAATATCGTTTAAAAAAGGAAAACAAAAACTGATGCATGGGTCTGGAACTGCAGGGGCTCTCTGGCTCTGCAGGTTAATGATATTAAGGAACCTTAAGCATCAACACTGGAGGCAAAGCAATCGGCCCCTTCACAACAGGCACATTTTGAACTGATGCTGCACTGATTTAATTTAAGGAAATTAAGGTAATTTCTTAAAGGAACATATTTGTTGTAACCCAACAGGATGTAAATGAGGGGTTTTTACTAATGTGTGTGTTTTAAAGTTCTCTCATTAGACTTTACACATTTACATTAGTTACTACATGTAGAGGCAGTGACAGCTTAAGAGTACTTGAACTTGTGCATGTTTTGATTTCATTTAGAAGTGTGTTTGCAATACTGCTGCGTGTTTGCACTTGATTTCTTTGTTAAGGATTATTTAATGACTTCATCCTAACTCCTGGTTTATAGCTCTTCTGTACAAAACATTGTGTTTGTTTAGCTTTAATGTACAGTTTTGAGAGTAACAG